GTGCTCGGCCAGACACTGATAGAAGTCACAGGACTACTATATACTGCTGATGAGAAAAAAGGGATTTAGCAGTTTACATTTACTAAAATAATTGCAATTCCATGTTCTGTGTACTGTGGGGGACAGATATAGTGAATGCGGGGTCCGGGGAAACCAGATATAGTGAATGCAGGGTCCAGGGAGAGCAGATATAGTGAATGCAGGGTCCGGGGAGAGCGGATATAATGAATGCGGGGTCCGGGGAGAGCGGATATAGTGAATGCAGGGTCCGGGGAGAGCGAATATAGTGAATGCCAGGTCCTGGGAGAGCGAATATAGTGAATGCAGGGTCCGGGGAGGCCAGATATAGTGAATGCAGGGTCCGGGGAGAGCGGATATAGTGAATGCAGGGTCCGGGGAGAGCGGATATAGTGAATGCAGGGTCCGGGGAGAGCGAATATAGTGAATGCCAGGTCCTGGGAGAGCGAATATAGTGAATGCGGAGTCCGGGGAGAGCGGATATAGAGAATGCAGGGTCCGGGGAGAGCGGATATAGTGAATGCAGGGTCCGGGGAGAGCGGATATAGTGAGTGCAGGGTCCGGGGAGAGCAGAAATAGTGAATGCGGGGTCCGGGGAGAGCGGATATAGTGAATGCAGGGTCCGGGGAGAGCAGAAATAGTGAATGCGGGGTCCGGGGAGAGCGGACACAGTGAGTGCAGGGTTCAGGGAGATCAGATATAGTGAGTGCAGGGTCCAGGGAGAGCGGATATAGTGAATGCAGGGTTCGGGGAGAGTGGATATAGTGAATGCAGGGTCCGGGGAGAGTGGATATAGTGAATGCAGGGTCCGGGGAGAGTGGATATAGTGAATGCAGGGTCTGGGGAGACCAGTTATAGTGAATGCAGGGTCCGGGGAGACCAGATATAGTGAATGCAGGGTCCGGGGAGACCAGATATAGTGAATGCAGGGTCCAGGGAGACCTGATATAGTGAATGCAGGGTCCGGGGAGAGCGGATAAAGTGAATGCAGGGTCCGGGGAGAGCGGATATAGTGAATGCAGGGTCCGGGGAGAGCGGATATAGTGAATGCAGGGTCCAGGGAGACCAGATATAGTGAATGCAGGGTCCGGGGAGAGCGGATATAGTGAATGCAGGGTCCGGGGAGAGCGGATATAGTGAATGCAGGGTCTGGGGAGAGCGGATATAGTGAATGCAGGGTCCGGGGAGAGCGGATATAGTGAATGCAGGGTCCGGGAGACCAGTTATAGTGAATGGGATGCAACCATATAACACCAAACAATCCAACCCCCCACCCCACCTAAGAGAGACATGTCTACACAATATTAGGACAGATCACCCTGTACCCATAACAGGCACAAGGTGACTTACACATAAGAGGGATATGGGGAGCTGAGACAGGGGTCTCTCCATCTCTCCAAAGTGAGCTGGGTTCCATGGGCCCCCCACCCAAAGTGACTCCCGTCACAAGGAACCCTACAGTAAACCATTGTGCCCATGGCAGCCGCCCCTCCCGCCCATCCCTGGTCCCAGCCCTGCATTCTGATATTTGGTCTGTTCTCTAGGTGTACTGCATTTTTGTTTCTTTTTTCCCCTGTGTGTGGATGGAGTCGGGATAAGTTACCCAATGTGCTCACCAAAGTGAACCCAATGTGGGCTTTGAGCGGCACCCCGAAGCTTTCCCATGTTCTGCTTTCCTGTTTTCAATCTTTTTGGCTACACTAAACATACAGATTAGGGGCATGAAGTAGTAAAGCTGAATTCACGATGTAGTGCCATGTGCTCTGATAATGCAGTAATGTGCGTTGTACGGGCATTTTTAGGGAGCATCCTATTCAATCTCAAAGGGCCCCGATGCAACAACACAGTAAAAATGCACCTGACCCCTTAGTAAAACCACAATACATAGGTGGGAATACACATGCGCTATGTTGAGCTAGGCTGGCTGAAATTGTCAGGTAAGCTTTTTGGCCTATGGCCAATGGTGGAGGGGCTATTGAAAATGAATGGGCCCATACAACACAAGATGGTGGAGGGCCCATTGAAAATGAATGGGCCCATACAACACAAGATGGTGGAGGGCCCATTGAAAATGAACAGACCCATACAACATAAGATGGTGGAGGGCCCATTGAAAATGAATGGGCCCATACAACACAAGACGCAACAGCGTGAGAGGATTCTATAACATATGACCTCCGATTCTGTGTAATACAATGCATTGGCCTTCTTTCCGTTCTCCGGTGGTGGCAGCAATGGGGAGACTCTCCATTCTCAACATATATCACTTTACACTCATTACAATGTCTATTTTTCATTACGGGGTGCTCTATCTGATAAACTCGGGCTCAGTGGTGAAAAAAAAACTCAGCATTCATCTACAGCAGACTTAGGAGTAAAAGAGTTAATTTGTTGGCTCGTTTGTACCAGTCTATTCTCAGACTTCATTTCCCTTTAGTCTGCGACAGTTTAATTTAGCAGGGAATTTATGCCTTCGTTAAAGGCTCCTCTTCCTGATGACTTTTAATGGCTGACTTTAATGTTCTGGCGTAATGCTCTTCATGTGGCTGTGTTGCAGAACTCTGTATTCAGGATGCCGAGTAAATAAAAAGACGGATCCTCATCACTGGGCTCAGACAAGGGCCCAGCCGCCACAACCACTTTTATTTCAGAAGAGATTCAGCTGGCTAGAGAGTGAGCTCAGAGGCTTACATTTCTTATTCCAGTCTAATGCAGCCTTTCTCTGTCTTTTTGTTCCCAAGGAACCCTTGAAATAATTTCCAGGTCTCAGGGAACCCCTGTAAAAAAAGGTAATTTGGGTTGGTGGGGCACATGCCCTTTACTTTGGTGTTCAGTGGGAACTTGCTTGGGAAGAATGTTCAGTACACTGGGGGCCAGTGAGAGGCATTCCTCTTACATTAGTGCTGAGTGGGAAGAATGATCCTTACATTGGTGGACAGTGGGATAAAAACCCCTTACATTGGTTAATAGTAGGAAGAATTCTCTGTACATTGGTGTCCAGTTAGAAGAATGCCCTTACATTGGTGATTGGTGGTCAGCGGGAAAAATGTCCTTACTTTGGAGGTCAGTGGGAAGAATGCCCATTAAATTGGTGGTCAATGGAAATAATTTGCCATTACATTGGTGGCCAGTGGGAAGAATGCCCCTTACATTGGTGGTCAATGGATAAATACCCCTTACATTGGTGATCAGTGGGAAGAATGCTCCTTACATTGGTGGCCAATGGAAAGAATGCCACTTACATTGGTGGTCAGTGGAAAGAATGCCCCTTACATTGGCAGTCAGTGGGAAGAAGGCCCCTTACATTGGTGGCCAGTGGGAAGAATGTCCTTTACATTGGCAGGCAGTGGGAAGAATGCTCCTTACATTGGTGATCAGAGGGAAGAATGCACCTTATAATGATAGTCAGTAGGATAAATACCCCTTACATTGGTGGCCAGTGGGAAGAATTCTTCGTACATTGGTGACCTTAAAGAATGCTCCTTAAATTCGTGGGTAGTGGGAAGAATGCTAATTAAATTGGTGGTCAGTGGGAAGAATTTGCTATTACATTGGACGGTCAGTGGGAAGAATTTTCAGTACACTGGTGGCCAGTGGGAAGAAGGCCCTTTGCACTGGTGGTCAGTGGGAAGATAGCCCTTTACACTTGTGGCCAGTGGGAAGAAAGCCCTTTACACTGGTGGTTAGTAGGAAGAAAGCCCTTTACACTGGTGGTTAGTGGGAAGAAAGCCCTTTACACTGGTGGCCAGTGGGAAGAAAGCCCTTTACACTTGTGGCCAGTGGGAAGAAAGCCCTTTACACTTGTGGCCAGTGGGAAGAAAGCCCTTTACACTTGTGGCCAGTGGGAAAGCCCTTTACACTGGTGGTTAGTGGGAAGAATGATCCTTAGATTGGTGATCAGTGGGAAGATTGCCCTTACATTGGTGGCCAATGGGAAGAATGCCCTTACATTGGTGGCCAGTGAGAAGAATGCCCTTACATTGGTGGCCAGTGAGAAGAATGCCCATTAAATTGATAGTCAGTAGGAAGAATTTGACATTACATTGGTGATCAGTGGGAAGAATGACGATTAAATTGGTGACCAGAAGGAAGAATGCCTATAACAGCAAAAAAAAAAAATGAATTGGTGTCATACAGCTGGCTCTGCCAAGTGGCGTTGGCCCTCAAATCTATGCAGGCACCATCAAATGGTAGATCAATTAGCAGCAGCCCAAGGAACCCCTAGCAACCTCTGGAGGAACCCCATGCTGACAATGGCTTGCCTAACATCTCCTGTATGGAAGTTGGATGATTTTTAAAAGGATGCCAAAAATCCAAAGGTCTACTATCAAATAGTAATAGGAGAATATATTTTCTATTTATTATCCTGCAAAGCAGAATTCCATTGTACACCAAGCTACTTAGCCAATAATTCTAATTTGCATTCACTCATCCCCTGCATCCTGCACTGGAAACCATTATTAATGAGCGAATAGTGAAACGAATGACACATGGAATTTCCCAAATTCTACTTTTTTCAGTATATGCCACTTTAAAACATTTGAACTAAATAAAGCTCTAATGATATAATAGAAATTGAACACCAGGAGCCTATTTATTTAATTTTCTGCAGCCTTAGAATCTGACATCGTCAGCTCCGCCCCGTGTGACCTGAACACTTCCACCCTGACAGCAGGAGTGGTTATAATCCTGCAAACCGCTTTCTTAGTCATTTATTTACGGTCTGTGCCACGTAAGAGATAAATGTTAAAGGATACTCAGCAAGTCGGTATATCTCCTCATTCTAAGGAATGGGGGGGGGGGGGGGGGTGCGGTGATAATCCTTGATGTTGTATTTAACTGTGGCTGGAGTCCTGCTTTAATAATCTGGAGCTAAACATTCTCGGTCCTGGTTCCCCCACCCTCCCGTGAGAGAAAGAAATATACGGTGCAGGCCATGTGGGTTGTTACAGTCAAGACAAGACAGGTCCTCTCTTTCTTACCATCAGGTGTTGGAAGAGCCATGAACGCATGATGTTGGTTGCATGTTTCGGGAGAACTCCGCGCTTGTTTTTAGATTTTTTATCTTCCCCATCAAGCAGAGAGGTCAGTTCCAGATTGACCTACGGAGACAGGCGCAAACAATTTCTTAAGTATAGTGTTTAGCTTCATAATAAACTAAGTCTTTGAATACCTCTTATTTAAAGGCACCCAATGTTTTCACTTTGCCCTTTAATTTTTTTTTAGCAGCAGTGTAGATAATGCATAAAAAAATATTCAAATCAGTTTCTGACCCCCAGAAGCTTACAATCTAATGTCCCCATAGGGACACAGACATACACACACTTGAGCCAGCAATCAGGTTTTTTCTTGGAGGAAAACTACCAGCTGTATACAAGGTGAATTAGTGGCCCTGTATTTAGGCTGCATCTGTGCTATTATTAATATACAGCAGGGGTCTCCAAACTGCGGCCTGTGAGCCGGATGTGGCCCTTTGCTTGCCTTTATCCAGCCCTTGGGACACTATTCCTTTCACTGGCACCAAAGATGGGGCACTATTCCTTTCACTGACACCAGCAATGGGGTACTACTCCTTCCATTGACACCAAAGATGGGAAACTATTCTTTGTACTGATACCAATGATGGGGCATTATTCCTCCCACTGACAACAAAGAAGTGAAAGTATTCCTCCCAATGACACCAGAGATAAGGAACTATTCCTCCCATTGATACCAATGACGGGGTACTGTTCCTCCCACTGACACCAATTTCTTCAATTGACACCAATGATAGGACACTGTTCCTCCCATTGATACTAAGATAAGGCACTATTCTTCCCACTGACGCCAACCATGGGGCACTATTCCTTCCACTGACTCCAATGATGGAACACTATTCCTTCAATTGACACCAATGATGGGGAACTATTCCTTCCACTGACACCAATGATGGGGCACTATTCCTCCCACTGATACCAATGATGGGACACTATTCCTTCCACTGATACCAATGATGGGACACTATTCCTCCCACTGATACTAATGATGGGACACTATTCCTTCCACTGATACCAATGATGGAACACTATTCCTTCCACTGATACCAGTGATGGGGCACTATTCCTCCCACTGATACCAATGATGGGGCACTATTCCTCCCTCTGATACCAATGATGGAACACTTTCCTTCAACTGACACCAAGGATGGGGAACTATTCCTCCCACTGATACCAATGATGGGACACTATTCCTCCCACTGATACCAATGATGGAACTCTTTTCTTTCAACTGATACCAATGATGGGGCACTATTCCTCCCACTGACACCATTGATGGGGAACTATTCCTGCCACTGATACAAACGATGGGGCACTATTCCTACCATTGACACCAATGATGGGGGACTATTCCTCCCACTAATACCAATCATATATTGTTTTTACTCCCACTGACCACCAAGCCTGTGGCATTTTCTATTCTGACTGGCCACAGTCCAGGCTTCCTAAAGTTTGTAGGGCAGAAAACTGGCCCTTTGTTTCAGAATTTTGGAGACCCCTGCATAGTGGTTTGCAATATAAGGGGAGACAGTACAATTAGAATGCAATTCAATACAGGAGGATTAGCAGGACTATGCTTGTGGAAGTTTATAATCTAAAGGGAAGGTCAAGTGGTACAAAAGGTTGTAACTGTGGGGGAGAGTTGATAGAGAAGATAAAAGTTCAGTTTTTATGTGGAGGTGGAATAGGCTTCTCCGAAGAGATACGTTTTTAGGGATCTCCCAAAGGCTGACAGAGTAGGAGATAGTCGGACAGATTGGGGGAGGGAGTTCCATAGGATGAGGGATGCTCTGGAGAAGTCCTGTAAACAAGCATGGGAGGAGGAGACAAGCGACCTAGAGAGCAGGAGGTCGTGGATGAAGTGGAGAGGACAGTTTGTGTGGTATTATGAGATGAGGTTAGTTATGTAGCTTGGGAAAGAGAAGAGGATGGCTTTATATGTTATTGTTAGTATTTTGAATTTTATTCATTTAGCAACGTGAAGCTAGTGGAGGGATTGGCAGAGAGGGGTGGCGGAAACTGATCGGTTGTTAAGGTGGATGAGTCTAGCATCAGCATTCATGTAGACTGTAGGGGGATATGTTCAGAGGTAGGCCAACGAGGAGGGGGTTACGATACCAAAGACACCACCAAGCATCTCCTTCACCCCTTATTAGAGGCGAGAACTAATAAGGGGGTGAAGGAGATGCTTGGTGGTGTCTTTGGTTACAAAGGGGCAAATTCTTTTTATATTTATAATAAATATTATGAAAGTGGAGGTAACAAGATTTTGAAAACGATTGGATTTGGGGCGCGAACGAAGAGTCCAGAATTACACCCAACACCCTAATATGAGGGGAAGGACTGATGGTTGCGCTATTGATTTTGATGTAAACGTTGGGGGAGGAACAAACTAATGGTTGTAGATTTATAGGTCACACTCCATCTATATATTATATTGAGAAATAACTTTATTTAGGGATTTCAGAATATATCCTCCATTTCTAAGACATATTCTGCACTTCAGTGGACTTTTTTCTTCCTTGGTCACCATCCTCACCAATCCTGCATTAGCTGCCCCACCAGTTATAATGTACATCAGGAAGGCAGTTCATCACATCTAATACAATAGTGGAAAAACCAGAAACGTGATGTGTCAGGGGGTTAAATCCATCCAAAGTGAGGGATATTCCAGGTAGTCACCAGAACTAGTATGCCCATTAGAAGATTTCTCTTCTATTCCTGTTCTGTTGGCAATTCAAACTTTAGGATTGTACTTCACTTTAACTTTCAACAATAACAGTCACCAGGATAAATAGAGAGGGTGATTCTCCCCAGCAAGGGCACAGACAGCAAAAAAACCTGCCCACATTCTTATCCAGGGGTTCTCAACCTTTTTGCAACCAGGGCCTGGTAAATTCTTCCAAATCCTTCCATGCACCAGCAGTGGAAAATAGTTTATACTATAGTTTATTAAACGTTTATACTCACATAAGTATAGGAATGCAAAACATGTATTGAAATACTGGAAGGTTCTAGATGGGGCTGGTGTCACTGTGGGGCTAGATGTGGGTAGTGGCGTGAGTTAGGGAAATCTGCAATAGACTTGGTGGCCCTGTAGGGGATTATGTTTCAGCAGGATCTTGGCTGGGGGTCACTATGGCACACCATTGGAGGTTGGAGGCACCATGAAGGATGGGACGCTTTTCAGCAGGCTGTGAGACACTGTGCAAGGTTCGGGGACGCTGTGGAAGATGAGTGATCTCATGGGCTTGGTACATGGTGGATTACTATTGAAGGTTCAGGAACACAATGGGAGCTGAACGGCACTGTGGGAGGTTGAGGGACATCACAGAGGCTTAGGGCTGTCAGAAAATCTGGTGCACTGTGGGCCACTATGGGAGGTTAATGGGAAGGTATGAGGGCTAGGAGGCACTGAAGGAGTTTCAGGGGTCTATAGCTGGCTAGATGTCTTGGAGAATGGAGCCCTTTGCCCAGCAATGGACCACAACCCAGTGGATAAGAACCACAGTCCTAATCACTCTCCACTCTATCTAAAACAAAACACATTTTTGCCCTCGGTTATACCTGTATATCTTCAAACATTTAGAGACCATCTCCACCAGATCTGATGGGGCTGTGCTTGCAGCTATTTCTAGTACAGCCCCATAGATGCCTTGTTTCTAATTGTGTCAGTTCACCCCCCAGCATTGCCTTGGTGCATAGAACTGTATGGAAATATAACTCATGACATTCCAGTAAAATTCTGTAGAAAAATGCAATGTGCTGGATTCAGGGCATTGGCACTGTGCCACACAGTGTGTTCAGCGTGGTGTGCTGGTGTGAACTGACCTTTAAGATCTCTTCCGATTCCTGAACAGAACCTGATTGTGAGGCATTGTGGGAGGCTGGGGGACACCGTGGAGGGTGAGGGCTCTCAGGAGCTTGGTTGGTCACTATTTGAGGTTTGGTGATGCTATGGGACCTGGGTGGCACTGTGGAAGGTTGAGGGACATTAGGGAGGCTGAGGAATCTCATGAGCTTGGTTACACTGTGGGTCACTGTTGGAGGATCGGTGATGCTATGAGAGCTGGGTGGCACTATGGGAGGTTGAGGGACATTGGGGAGGCTGATGGCTCCCATGGGCTTTGTTACCCTGTGGGTCATTATTGGAGGTTTGGGGACATTATGGATACTGGGTGGCTGAGGGTTCTCAGTAGACCTGGTGGCACTATGGGCCACTATGGGAGGTTGATAGGGAAATATGAGGGCTAGGAGGCAATGTAGAAGGTTAAGGGATTACAGCTGACTAAAGGTTTTGGAAAATGGAGGCCTTGGTTCCTTGATGCATAGAACTGTATGAAAATATCACTTATGACATTCCAATTAAGTTCTGTGGAAAAATGTGCTGTATGTAGGGCATCATCACTGTGCCATGCAGTGCGTTTAGCGTGATGTGCTGGTGTGAACAAGACCTTAAAACCTCTTCCGATTCCTGAACGGAATCTGACTCTGGGGCACTGTGGGAAGTTGGGGGACACAGAGGAGACTGAAGGCTCTCATGGGCTTGATTACACTGCGGGTCAATATTGGAACATTATGGATGCTGGGTGGCACTGTGGGAGGTTGAGGGACATTGAGGAGGATGAGGGCTCTCAGGAGACCTGGTGGCACTGTGTGCCTCTATGGGAGGTTGATGGGGAACTATGAGGGCTAGGAGGCACTGTAGGAGGTGAAGGGATCTACAGCTGAATAAAGGTCTTGGAAATTGGAGGCCTTGGTGCCTTGATGCATAGAACTGTATGAAAATATCACTCATGACATTCCAATAAAGTTCCGTGGAAAAATGTGCTGGATGTAGGGCATCATCCTTGTGCCACGCAGTGAGTTTAGCGTGATGTGCTAGTGTGAACGAGCCCTTAAGATCTCTCCTGATTCCTAAATGGAACCTGACTGATTGTAGAAGAGCACATTATCTGTCGGGTTAGTCCGTAGAGCCCGTGTTTGGTGGTACAAGTACAGGGTGAAGCGTTGTAGCTGTTCCAGGCCTTCAATAAGGTGCTGGGAGGATGGCTGTTCTCCAGCAAGCCTCATGGAACA